GATGACCACCCATCGTTGGTGACCGACGCCCGCGCTCATTGATGAACTTTAGACTCCGCTAATGCTTTCGTTTCCCCGGGTGTAAATAGCCGGGGGGAATTAGTACCCTCGCACGGCGCTTCGCGCCGCCGGCTCGGGGACAATGCACAATTCTGGATATAAAACATGCCTTCTCACTTCAGCTGGCCCTACTAGTCCTACTAGGCAGCTGAGCTTTTTCCTGCACCAGTTCACCACAAGCTCATGCATAACAAAACCCTTGGCTAAATATATAAAACCTTAATTTCCTCTTTAATACACCAGAACATCATAGTTTCATCATAGATGTACTGTTGTGCAACTCGATATTGCGAGGGATGAAATTATTGCATAAATTGCACAGTAAATACAAAAAGGTTTATCTACAACCACATTATAAACACTTGTGGCTTATTTTCTAAAAAATAGAATACATTTTACCATTTATTCCTAACATTTTTTCATGAAATACTAAAATAAAAATGTGAATTTTAAAATGTTTACCTGTTTATAGTTGACTGCATGTTTATAGACTGCTGTTTATAGCTCGGCTTGAAATATCGTTTTTGTCCACATTTTGGGAGGTTTTAATAGTTGTTTGTTGTCTTTCGCGGACGAGAATAACGTGTACGACTTTCACATCCTTGAACAAATGGTCAAACGTCGAAAAAATATGTCGAAAATAACAAAACAACAAGAATTCACTGCAAAATCCGAAATATTTTTTCAGAAACCAGGGGGGGGGAGGTGAAAACTGTGGCGGGCTCACAATTGAGCCTTGTGCAGTGGCAATTACCATGAATTTAGGGACCAGTAGTCATGGAAATGGCGTCATTTTCACTCAAAATCCGCCATGATATTTACTTCACTTGGTTGACTGAACGAAGTATAGGAGCAGGTCCTCCAGTTATTATACAGCTCAGTGGGGCGTACGTACGCGCGTACGTACGCAAAGGGTATAAAGGAATGATGTGTTTGTTTTGTTTTGTAGTGCCACGATGAATTGTTTACATGGAAAGCCTGCTGTGTATTCAACAACGAGTAATGGAACGTTTTGGTTTTGTGGTGAAAACCCTACGTGCAATTTTATTTGTACTGATAATGAGTGTTATATGTTTGAGAAGGCAATAACGGCGTGGAGGTGTACGGAGCAGCCCCATCCGCGGTGTCGTGATCATGACAAGCTTGCCAAAATGTGTGTGGTAAAGGACTTGATGAAGGAGAATTACGGGCGGCCATTTTTTGTGTGTGGCGAGAAGGGAAAGCAGTGTTCGTTTTGGATGTGGGGCGATGTGTATCCGATTGCGAAGCCGCACAGATTAACGTTATAAGCCATTTATTATTATTAAACAATTTTACATAATTAAACATGCTGTCCGGCTTCTACACTGTCCACGCATGTGCTCATTTTGTGCGATGAGCATATGAGCACATGCTCATAACTGCTCATGAGCACATGCTCGTATGCTCATCCTGCATAAGCGTATAAGCACATGCTCATAACTGCTCATGAGCACATGCTCATATGCTCATCCTGCATGAGCGTATGAGCATATGCTCATAACTGCTCATGACCACATGCTCATCTGCTCATAAGGCTCGAACGCGAGAAAAGGTGTGGTTTCATTATTTTTTTTCTTATTACTTACTACTGCAATGAAACAAGACATAACACAATTTTGATACGTTTTAATTTCTCATATGCATTACACAAATTCATTGGTCATCACTTTCAGAAAAAAAAGTCATCAAAATATTTAATGGTCTTCATCATCGCTTTCCTCTGTAAAAGTATAATCGTTTAAAAGTTTTTTGATAAGAAATTTTCTCTTATCAACAGCTGCTTGCATAGCTTCTTCGGTATCAAAATTATTATTGTCCACAAAGGCATCTTTTGTTTGCATTATTTTCTTATGCACTGGATCGTTCTTTAGTTGTTTCATCCACGAAAGACGATCCATATAGATACTCTCTAGCTCTTTTTGGAGCTTAGGCAGAATATCGGAGTAAGCTTTTTCTCCAGCGGATTGTTCATCCAGACCACTGTGTATCAAATTCATCTTCATTTCCTCAAAACCCGTTTTAAACTTTTGCATTGCTTCTTCTACCATTGGCATCCAAGGATCGTTTTCTTCATCCTCAGTTTCCGTCTCATTGTCTGTTGTCACCGGACTTTCAGAACCATGAGTTGAAGCGGTCGAAGAATCGCCTTCAGAGTCCATTGTCTGACTTTCTGTTTCTGACATTTCTCTCTCTTGATCCTTCAATGGACAGTACTTATTTTCGTGTCGACGTAGATTGAAACTTCGATTAAATGTTTTTCCGCAGAATTTGCCGATCATTTCGCTAGCAAGGTCTGTGTAAAAATGCCTTGTTATTCAGCACCACTGTACTTTTATATGAGCAGATGAACATGTGCTCATGAGCCAATGAGCCACTATTGAGCACCCGCTCATAACTGCTCATAAGTCCATGCTCATCTGCTCATGACTGCTCATGAGCACATGCTCATCTGCTCATCGCATCAATTGCACTGGAAATCTAACAATGCTTGTGGTAGAATTAAGCCATACTTTCCATCGTACCCTTTTGAACGTATGAGCAGTTGAGCATGTGCTCATGAGTAGTCATGAGCAGATCAGCATGGACTTATGAGCAGATGAGCAGTTATGAGCGGGTGCTCAATAGTTGCTCATTGGCTCATGAGCACATGTTCATCTGCTCATATAAAAGTACAGTGGTGCTGAATAACAAGGCATTTTTACACAGACCTTGCTAGCGAAATGATCTGCAAATTCTGCGGAAAAACATTTAATCGAAGTTTCAATCTACGTCGACACAAAATAAGTACTGTCCATTGAAGGGTCAAGAGAGAGAAATGTCAGAAACAGAAAGTCAGACAATGGACTCTGAAGGCGATTCTTCGACCGCTTCAACTCATGGTTCTGAAAGTCCAGTGACAACAGACAATGAGACGGAAACTGAGGATGAAGAAAACGATCCTTGGCAGTGCAAAAGTATAAAACGGGTTTTGAGGAAATGAAGATGAATTTGATACACAGTGGTCTGGATGAACAATCCGCTGGAGAAAAAGCTTACTCCGATATTCTGCCTAAGCTCCAAAAAGAGCTAGAGAGTAATATCTATATGGATCGTCTTTCGTGGATGAAACAACTAAAGAACGATCCAGTGCATAAGAAAATAATGCAAACAAAAGATGCTTTTGTGGACAATGATAATTTTGATCCCGAAGAAGCTATGCAAGCAGCTGTTGATAAGAGAAAATTTCTTATCATACGAGCATGTGCTCATAAGCAGTTATGAGCATGTGCTCATATGCTCATCGCACAAAATGAGCACATGCGTGGACAGTGTAGAAGCCTGACAGCATGTTTAATTATGTAAAATTTTTTAATAATAATAAATGGCTTATAACGTTAATCTGTGCGGCTTCGCAATCGGATACACATCGCCCCACATCCAAAACGAACACTGCTTTCCCTTCTCGCCACACACAAAAAATGGCCGCCCGTAATTCTCCTTCATCAAGTCCTTTACCACACACATTTTGGCAAGCTTGTCATGATCACGACACCGCGGATGGGGCTGCTCCGTACACCTCCACGCCGTTATTGCCTTCTCAAACATATAACACTCATTATCAGTACAAATAAAATTGCACGTAGGGTTTTCACCACAAAACCAAAACGTTCCATTACTCGTTGTTGAATACACAGCAGGTTTTCCATGTAAACAATTCATCGTGGCACTACAAAACAAAACAAACACATCATTCCTTTATTCCCTTTGCGTACGTACGCGTACGTACGCCCTCATCACGTCACTCCCGCCATGACGTCACTTCCGGTCCCATATTCTGCGTACGTACGCAATATGACGTCATACGTACGTACGCATGACGTCACTTCCGACCCCAGATGGGGGTATAGTACTACTGGTAGTTCAGGAGCTTTCTTGGAGAATTCTAGGGAGAATTTACAAGAATTGGAGAGTACACAGGGATCTGTGAATTTGTTGTGGACAACATACTTGGATAATAAATATATAGATTTTGAACGTAAAGGATACAGCCTAAACCCAATTTATATGGTCTTGGTAGACCTGACTATACCCCAAACAACAATAAACTTCATCAAGTATAACGCATTCAA